CTCAGCCTGGACAGCTAACCACATTGGGTCCTTCCAAATGGGATAATCTGATATAAGACATCAAGAATATCAGTCCAAGTGTAGTGGAAGATGTAAGGTGTATGTGGGGTTATTTCAAACTGGCTGACCTTCTTTCATAGACTCGTTATTGTCTGCCATGCCTAACTCTCCAACTCTTGGTTGAGACAATGTTAGATAACACACTGATCCAGATCAACTTACAGAGTGCTGATTCCATCTTGAGGTTTAGCTTCCTTTGCCAATCTGCTTACTTAATCTTTGGCTGTGCCAGTCTGGGAGCCATAGAAGACAACAACTTCCTTCTTCTAAAAAACTCAAACAGGAGAGGCCTTGGTCAAGAGTATTACTATTGGGTTATACCATATCAAGAAGAGGCTCAGACCTGCAATCCTATGACAAAGTCCTGCTTCTATAAGTTCAGCAGACTTATTTCTGGGCTTGAAATGCATCAACATAATTAATCAAAGGTGGTTGAAAGAAAAAGACATCTTTTTTTCAAAATTTGATTTTTTCATATCTATAAAGGCTGTGCAATCAATGCTAGAGCCATTCTGGTGACCAGGTAACCGTGATATTGTTGTCAAACATATGCAAATTACCCATTTCTCTTCTTAAAATTTTAATGGTGCATAAATATCAAAGGAATTTACTTTGCATTTATACAATAATTGAAACAAATTCATCTTTATAAAAGTTGTCAACCTCTATATAAGATCAGGCGATCCAAGCAGGCCTGTTCTCAGGAGGTTTACATGAAAACACAGGTTAATAAGATTTGAAACTCTGGAAATCATCATGATTAAAAAATCCAAAGAAGATATGAAACATTTGAATTTGTTTAATGTACTATGAGTGGGTTTCAAAGTATGTACATACCAAAAAGACATAAAAAGGAATGATTTCCTCTTTTTTGGATTTTCAATAGGAATTTTTTAATTCATCAAAGAAAGTTGTTTCAAGTAACTAAATATCATCTACATAATTGAAGATCTTTTGATCTTCAATAGCCTAGATTGGAGTTAAGTATGAGTTTTGTTTTATTTAAATGAAGATGATTTGATTGTGCGATTGTGATGATGATGATGAGTTTTGTTTTATTTAAATGAATAAGATGATTTGATTGTGCAATTGTGATGTGATGATGAAGAGTAAGAAGTGAATTTGAGGGATCTTTGTAGCTCAAATTGGTGATGATAATCCAGTACAACTTGCAGCTTTGTTGAAGGAGCTTTTGAGAGATTCGCCTGGTTCTTTATGAATGTTTCAACTTCACATCTTTTGTTTGCTTTTCAACGTTAGTAATCTGAATCCGGATTCCCAGAGTCGACTGTAACAAAAGAAAAAAACTGATCTTTTTGACCAATCAATTGCGTTGACGTCCCAGAAAGGGACTTGTTCTGGACCATGATATGGGGAAATTTGTGGAATTAAAAAACACTCATTGAAGAACAGAGCAATGGAGGAGCTTATCAAGATACATTTTGATTTCAAAGATGAAACCCAGTACCAATCAAGGCTAATCAATACCTTACTGAAAGCCCAGTTTCGATATTGGAGCAAATCAGCACTATGTCCTCTAAGTGTTGTTGACCTATACGACGAAGGCAAGGTTAGAGAGTTATTGGTCGGGTGAAGGGAAGTGGTTGCGATAGAATGACATTCTCTATGATAGGATGTTGTTGATATCAAGAGTGAAAAGATATAAAATCTTACCAATTCCACCCGACTGAGACCTTGATTTCAAAATTGAAACAGTGGTCATCTAGATAAATCGAGACCTGAAAACTAAATCCAGTTGAGAATTCACTCGTAATCAGTATTATTTGCCTCATTACCAATAATTTAGGCTGTACAGCCAGAAAAATTGATGAGCAGGTTGTCATTGCCGCACTTGTGGAGTTGAAGATTCAGGCAAAAATACAAAGTAAGACAATATAAGGATGTAAAGCGAGATGAGCCCAGCAAGTGAGGGGACAAATAGCTCTGAAGTAGTATAAGACATGATTGAAGTGTAGTTTGAGCAGATTGAGATTGAATTCAAAACCCTTTAACACAAACAACAATTCCTAAACTTGCTCCACCTTGTGTAAATCATTTTGCTAGCTGAGATTGGACTTTCAATCTTTACAGCTGTAATCAATCGGTCATGAATTGTTTTGATTGATTTGATTTGATGATCTTGTTGATTTAAAAATGACTAGCCCATTCAGCGGCGGGCGCCGCACAACTCCTTCCCAAGAGATTTCTTAAGATTTCACACTGATCCCAGTCTCACAACAGCTGTGATAAATAGTACCTCTGGAATTGAACCTTGGGTTTTTGAGTCTAACAGAAATTGATTTTTCATTGCAGACACATATAACTCTAACTCCCACAGTAAGGAACTTTATACTTGTACTTGAAGCATCAATCTTACATGGTCAAAAGTGCCCTGCAAAAGTGTGAAGTTGTGCTCGGTCAGGAGATAGATGGTGGAATGTTCTAATCAGGCCAAGCAAATCATGTTGGACTGAATCCAAACAAAAGCAGAATCTCAGTATAAGAGAAAGAAAGAAATGACAGTAATCTTATATAAAGATTTTGTAATGATACAGTCAGATGAGGAAAAGAAAAAAAACCCTATCAGACTGATGTTCAGTGATCAGGTGGTGATCTATCTATAGTCCTTGAGTCTCGTCTATAGATCCGACAATATGTTATGGACAGACTTGGGGGTTTTCGGCGACGAGGGTCAAGGGAGTTCTGGTGAGGATTTGTATCTATTACCAGTCTTCCTATGTGGATTGTCGGATGAGGGAAAATCTGTACAGGCAATGTATCTACAACTATAAGATGGTTCTCGAGCTTGTGACATGTAATGTGAATATGTCACTCAAGTGAAATAGAACCAGTTCATAACAATCAGTGATGTAACATTCTTCATTGGGCTATATGATGTAATGTGGTAAATGAAGAAACACAAAAATGAATAAAACAAAAATACATTTATATGAAATACATTAATATGTAAAAAGACTTTTTAAAGCACAGAAATAAATCTGACAAATCATTACTTGGTGTTGGTAACTTGTTATTAACATGGCGGAATGGGAAAGTTGGAATCTATCCCATGTGTATTGGTACTGATGGGTCAGCCTGTTAACCATATCTCTTTGTTTTACAGCTATGATATCATAGCTCTTTACCACCATTGTTCTCAACTTTCCCATAGCATTTACTTCTGTTGAAATTATCTTATCATCAATTTATAAGATTATATTTCCTAGTCAAGAGTTATTATTCAAGTTTGCCCACCCTCCCATTTCCCGGCAAGTCAGGTTACAAAATAAAATGGCATATATTTGATAGGGTATGATATGGGGTCTCTTATTCTTTAGTTTGTTATGAGTTATTGTTTATGATAGTTATTTTTATTTTTTGATTCTTATTTGGTTTGTTTATCTTTTATTTTTTATATTTAGTTATTTCATCATCATTATTATCCGTACTGTTTCATTCAGAAGTTGGTCTAAAACATGTGTTATCCGCTGTCCGCCCCATAGGGTGTGTTTGTTTGTCAAAAGAATTTTTTTCCCTTGGCTTAGGCCTTGGGCTTCACACCAAACATCATTCTATATTTGGTTTCTTTATACCAAAATATTAGTAAGTTTGGTTCTGATATTCCCATTTCAGATTTTTCTCTCTCTGTGTTGCCCTCTTCCCATCTGGTGAAGGCTTTGATCAGCAGTTGACTATTAGATCTCAAATAATTAATGAGAATCCAGAAGAATGGCTCAAAAATGAATGATTTTCAAGACCTAAAATCAAAGATATCAAAGATTTTATAAGATCATTCAACACAGAACCAAATCATACGTGACAGAAATATTGTCTACTCCACTTTTATACCAAAGTTTTATTCTTTTCCAAGTGATTTCTCACTCAAAGCCTCAATCAATATTAACTTCAAACTTTCAGTGACTTCACCTTCTTTCAAGCTTCTTCTAATCACAATTATTACTTACTCAATAATAAAATCATTTGCAAGCTTCATTTATAATCACTTGCTACATATAACATATTCTTATATGGGATTTTGGTTTCCTGTGTGATCTTGGATTGAACTTCAGACATTACTAACCTTATTTGCTCATTTCTTTTGAATCCTCAATTTCAATGAAGATTCCTTGTCTCAAAATTTTTCTCATTGGAATGATGAACCATTTCACTTATCAATTTTGTCATGTCATCCTTTGCATTACAGAATTGTTCAATTTATGCATCCACAAAATACCAATCATGATTCACATCAATTAGATATTTTCTTCTTTGGGTTGGGGTTTAGTGAGTCTCTGTCTTTTATTCAACTTTCAAGTCACAAAGTTTGTTTGAAGACTTTTAGAACATCTCTATGTGCTTCAATTAGTTCACAAGTTTTATCAAAAATTCAACAATAGTATCTGAATATTCAATGTCACATGATTCATTCCAATAAACATCATCTCCAAATGATTGATTAAAATAAATTTGATTCTTCAGGTCAGAAGAAATTATCAATGAATGTTGCTACTCTTGCTGCTTTTAATGAAGGTCTAGGTGCATGATCAATTCTCAAACTCACAGAATTCATTGATTCTTGATCCATAAGTCATAGAGAAGATGAATGTAAATTGTTGATCGAGTAGTTGAATTTGATTCAAGTTGGTTTTGATAATATGCCACTGACTGAATCAATCTATTATCAGATATTCAAACCCAAGCAGAAAGGATTCTAATAAATACAAAAAAAGATGAAGATGATGCAAGATTGAAAATGCTTCAAATGATTTGGTTGATCTTAATAAACAATATAGTTTTCAAATTGATTGGATTCAAAAATTGATTGAACTTGAATATATTGGAATTAATTCATGAGATCATAATTAGTTCAATCCAAATCATAATCCAAGTTGTCTCAAAGTACTTACCACATGAAATCTCTTCCTACACTGATTTTATCTTCAAAATGGAAACAAGACCCAATGATCATGAATAGCAGTGACATACCACTGGATTTCACTGAGACTAAGATCAATGATTGATTTCCCATCTACTACTCCAGCTTTATTGGAGATAATTGTTGGATGTCCTACTTCAGCTTTGACTCGATCAACTACATCTTTGACTGCTTTCGGATCCATTATGTCGCACTTATAACATCAAACATCTAGAGACAAAGAAAACCAAAGTCAGCAACAATCTTGATTTTAAAAACAGTGAGTTTCAATTCAAAAGACAAAAACAAACCAGAACCAGAAGGATTCTGGATAGAAGGTCTAAGATCTAAAACGACAATCATAATATTCCTGATAGCCAAAGTTTCCAAAATCACTTTACCCAACCCATCAGAACCACCACTGACAAATACCATTTGATGATCCCGAACAATCCTATCAATCCAATTCTCCGAGTCTATTCCAACCAGTCCATTGAATGATATGTAGTTTAATAACCACCCAATTGAAATCAAAATCCAAGGATCCACCAGTGATGTTGATTGCACTGCAGAAATCGCTGGCAATCATATCCCAGCTACTGCTGGTGATCCCAATCCCACTCTTGATGTCAATTCAATTCCTGCGATCAATGGCGATTCCATTCCTGATATCACTATTGACCCAGATGATGTGATTGAACAGCCTATCAATACTGCAATCAGCAATACCAAAGATACCATGTGGTAATGGAAAAGATGAGTTGTGGTGGGTAGGTGTAGATTGAATTTGGCGATGAAAGTTTGGTTGATTAAGATTCTGTTGTTGATGCTGATTTGTAGATGAATATGATGATGAAGTTGAAGAAGAGGAAGAAGAAGTGGTTGAAGTAGGTGAAGGTGAGATTGAGATCGGGTTGATGATTGTTGGTGTTGTTCATGTTAGTTTAGTTGGCTTAGTTTTAGTCATTTTAAGTGATCAATCAAACAAGATATTGATGGGTGCTGGATGATGAGAATAAGATTGTATGGATTAATAAAGTAGAAAAAATACTGATAAGTTGAATTTGATGATTTGTTGGATTACCTTGATGTTTTAGATTGGTTCATGTTTCTCTCTTGATGACCGTTCTGAGTAATTTGATCATGGAAATGATTGATCATTTGAAGGTACGATGTTTCCATGAAATTGTTTATGGTCTTTGATTGGTTGAGACCAGGATCTGATTGAGAATTGATAAAGAAGGTGAGGTTTCAAGATTAAAGTGACTTCCGATCATAGTCGAGTTGAAGGTGAATCGGATTGAAGGATTGGATTGGATTGAGATGATATGATCATCAGGTGATTTGATGGGAGCTTCACAATAGATCATGAGGTGGACGCGTGATCCAGGGATTTTACTCAAAGGAGACGTAAACCTCCAAACTGAAAGTACTGATTGGGAGTTTTGTCCAGTTTTGCCGGCGAACACGGTTTGCCTTTAACTTGAATGATTTAGATTCCGTATTTCAAACTTCTTCAAATGTACGATGTGTTCATCCTACTTCTTCTGATGCGGTCATTAATGATAATCTCCAACGTGATGTATGTTGACTTTGATCTATACCTATTGCAATTATCAAACAAATTGTAAAGATTGGTAGAGTTGATGAAGTTCTGGAGGCCGAGGGAAATGTTTTGATAATCTCCATCTGAACGAAAATGGTAAGATTGATAATGTTGCTCTTATTGATGAAAATAAATATGATTCAAACATTGGTATTGAGCATGAAAAAACTCCAGACCCGAAGATCTAGAAACCAAAAAAACTTGAAGCCTAGTTAGGATTTGTTCTCATTTGATTTGGTGTGAATCTGACGATGCTACTTACGCCTTTTTTGGGCTGGACACGATCTACAAAAAATTATTCCAACCAATCTGAAAGGTTGAGATGTGACTTGAAATTGAGATAGTGAGAGAGGTTTGACTGAAGTTAAACAACTTTAATGAGGCTTTGTCTTGAGCAAAGTTGAAGGTTTATTTGATGAATTTATTAGTTAATGTACATTTGTCTCATGAATGAAGCTTTGATTTGATTTTATGAGGTTAAATGACTTGTTATTTTTAGTTAGTTTGATAAACAACTTGTGATAATTTGAGAATGTCATTGATCACATAGCAGCTGATACTGATGTCAATTGGAATTTGAGGACATATGTTGGATTGATCAAAGTGGCCAAATCCAATCTACAGCTTGTAAACTATAGTTATAATCAAAAAATTGAGCTATCTGTGAAATGCTTTGGTAAGATTTGATGATGACTTAGCTTGGTCATGAAGTGTATCAGATTTGATTTCAAGTTGGTATTAGTCAACTTGAATGAGATTGAAAAGAGTTCATTAAAGCTTGAGTCTGATGTTGACATTGATTTGTTGTGTTGAAAGTTTTGATGAATTTGTTTGAATGGAAATTACTTGGATTGAGGGTATAGAAGAATTTATTGAGAGGAGTGAGGAACAAATTTGGGGTGAGGCGCGTGCAAATCAGGTTAAATCTGTTGAACGTGTAAACCTGGAAATTGGTAGTAGGGATTGGGAGTTTAATCAGGTTTTGCCGGCAAACACGGTTTACCTTTAACTTGAATGAAATGATTAACTTGAATGATATAGTATAAAGTAATACATTTCCAAAGATGATTTGAATTGAACTTTTGCTGAAATAACAAGCCACAAAGAGTCTCCATATCAGTTTTCAAATGATCAAGCTTGCCTATGTGCCACTGGTGCATTAACAAAATCACAAAACATTGACTCACAAGGTTGTCCCTTTGTTCAGAGGCTTGAGTGTGTTGATTTGGGTTAGGCTTGACCCAATCTGGTTCCCCATAATCCGCCATTCTCCTTTCCAAGCACTCCTTCAACATGTATTCCACATAAAATTCATCTTCACCCAATTCAATTTTGATGATATTGTGCAGGACACAGCAAGCTACAACAATTATTACTTGTGTCTTATAAGGATAAGATGGCATCAAAGCCAGGATTGGAAATCTCATGTTTGAGACTCCAAAGATACGTTTGATGACAATTTGAAGTGCTGAATGTCGGTGATTGTAAAGTTCTTTTGGGTTTTGTGGTGTCAAGTGGGAATTTCTCCACTCCTTGAGGTGATACCACACCGATTGATAAGGCGTCAGAAAGCCTGGTACGTTAGCATAACCAGTGTCAGCAAGATAGAACTGATCTGAATTGAAAAAACAGATCAATATCAAAGTACAATGTTTTCAAAAAAAAGAATCTATCTTACCTTCAGGAATTACAAATCTTTGTTCTTCAAGTGCTTGGTGAAGAACACGAGCATCCACAGCCCCCAGCTACTAGGCTCTGGCAGGCCAGAGATTACCACGGCTTCATGAAAGATTCATGAAAGATTGAGAAAGATTTTAAAATGACTTCAACATAACATCATGTGGGGCCATTTGCCTGTCAGACCACCAAAATTCCAATGTCATCATATGACATCATATCCTGTATTCACAGATCAAGAATATATAGTCTATTAAACTTTATCATGTAAATTGACTGAGATATTGAGGTTTGAAAAAAAAACACGGATAAAAATTACTATTTTTGTACTATACAAAAGGCTGGAGTCTTGGATATCTTAAATCTTTATCAATATACATATAAAATAAATTTTATATTCCACTGTACAATACACTTTTCTACATTTTTTGTTTTTGCAGCCTTTGTCCAAAAGGCATATTTCTATATGTAATTGTGAATTCTACATGAGCAGTCCAATATTTCCTTGATTTGTTGATTGTAAGAAGGATATGAATAAATTGATGGCAGAAACTTTTGGAAATCATTATTTACATTCATATCGGTCTATTTGAGCCTAATTTGTGCCCTAAATTTCCTCACAATTTGCCTCAAGGTCAAAGAACTTCAGGAAATCCAACTTCTGTATATAATCCGCAATTACATATAGAAATACTGCCCATAGACAAAGGCTGTAGGGAACAGAAATGTGGAGAAACATAATGCAGAAGATATTATCAAATTTAATGTATATATATATTGACAGAGATTTAAGATATCCAAGATCCAAGTCTTATGTATAGTACAAAAATAGTATTTTTTATCCGTGATTTTTTTTCAAACCTCAATAACTCAGTCAATTTACATGATAAAGTTCAATAGACTATATATTCTTGATCTGTGAATACAGGAGCAGGTGTGTACAGATTTATGATGACATATGATGACATTGGAATTTTGGTGGTCTGACAGGCAAATGGCCCCACATGATATTATGTTGAAGTCATTCTGAAATCTTCCTGACTCTTTCATGAATCTTTCCTGAATCTTTCATGGAGTCAGTGGTAGGCTCTGGCAGGCCAGAGCCTAGTAGATGGGGGCCGTGATTGGTGTGGGATCCTTCTAAACCGGCATAGACAAATGTAAACATCATATTGAAGGAACAGCCGGCTAGAACTTTCTGGCTAAGATCCCCTTGGTGGTTTTGATGGGCTGGTTGTTGGTCAGCAGGAACAATACAAGGAATGTGGGTGCCATCAATGGCACCCACACATTTGTCGAAGTAAGGTGTGAAGCAAGGATTATTCCTGATTTCCTTTGGACATATCTCCCCTCCGGTAGGTTGAACAATGTAAATGGATTCAAGAGAAGCAATGGCACAGCAGACTTTGTTGAAGTAACAGCTGATGGTATGTCCAGAGTATTGAAAGCGTTCTCCGGCGACTCAATTGGATCCAGAATTTCCAACAATATATAAAAAGATCATAACTTGCTCTTCCACCGTAACACTCCTCTTGCGGTGAATGACAAGCTTGCCTTTAAGGGCTTTGATTAGTCCCTTGAAGGCAAGCTTGTAGAAGCTTGTCCATTCAACACAGTTCTCTAAATCAAACATCACTGTCTATGAGGATTTCCTTTGTATATTGATTTCCTCAAAGCTTTGATGTTTGACATGGCTTCTTCTCAGTGGTTATAGAAGCAAGGTAATCAAGTCCTGCCTTGACAATAATCTTGAGAACTGCAATTGCCGGTCTGATTGATATAGAGGATGTGTCAGAGTCAGAATCAGAGGAACTCAACATGATGGGCACTTGGAGCAATGATTTGGATGATCAAAGGCTCATAACCTTTTTTTTCATTGCCACTCTCAAGACTGTTCTGAATTTCAAAGATTCAAAAACTGTCCTTAATGATCATCAAAGCAAACACCTCATGACCTCTTTTTTCACAAATTCTCACAAAACACAAATTTTGGTTTTTTTTACAAAAATAACTTTTCTACATGTAGGAAAGTGGTTGTTCAGAATTCACGTTGGAGGAGCCTCCTTTTTCCAGCCTGCGTGCATAAATGCGGCCGTTTTTTAGCTCAATGTGCGCGCAAAGGGGGGGGCGCAGTGCAGGGTACAAAATTGTGTTTTTGAGCATTTTCATTGAAAAAAAACATAAGAATTGTGTTTTTCAGGATAAAGAGGAAAAACCATTGAAATTAAAAAAAACAAACATCACATAGATCAGCTGCAGACCAGCTAGAAGGTTCATCCTCTACAACTATAATTGGTGTAATAGATGAATTGTTGTTTTTCTTTTGTTTAAACAAAGAGAAATCAAAAAGACTATCCATGAATCCCTTGGAATCATCTGAAGAGTCACCTGCCATAGGTTCTACCCCTTCTTCAAAAGCCTCAAGTTCGTCAGTCAGTACAAAAAGGTCTGCATCATTGCTAGTCACATCTTTCTCAGGAGAACTTTTCTTCTTTGTTGAGTTTGGTTCCTGTGCATCATTGGCTGAGAGACCCAGTCGCACTTGTGACATCATCTTCAAGGTCTGGACTTTCATTCTATTTTGTGCCTTTGACTTCAATCAACTCATAAGTGAAGACAAGCTTTCGACACCGGCAGAATGTGGAACGATTTCAAGTATCTTGATTGCTAACTCCCTGAGTGCGCTTGTGTCTGAAGTAGATGGCAAATTACACCAATAATCAATAGGCCAATCATCTACAAAGATTGACCTGTGAAGATATGGTCATTGGTCAGCCTTGATTGAAATGAGAGTTTCAAAATGGAAAACTTACAAGATTCAGGTATGTTGAAGGGCAAGTCATCATTGTGATAACAAGGTACTTGAGACTTGATAGCATAGCCTTTGGATCTTGAGCAGCCCCATTTACATGCAAGCTCAACAGCTTGTTGGGTCATCCATTCAACGGAGTATTTCTTCGAAGTGGCGACTTCACGATAAGCTGGATTGAGGAAGAAAGCTAAGATGTATCTATCTAGCTGGAATTGTTTGCTACGGTTATGAATACTAGATAATGCATGATATTTTCAAGAGGCTTGAAACAATCATAGACTTTGGTATCTTGAATGCTACAGTAGACAATACCCAGCTCCTTCCAAATACCACCTAAAGCTGTATCAGCTCGCTCTAATTGTGCCAGTGAGTCAACAATAGGACATAGAATCTTGAGTACTTTGTTACCAGTAAGATGATCACGGTCATTTATGATGATTTGAACTTCTTTGTTGATTTTGGGTGTATTGATGGATGGGTTGTTTAACATGTTGATACACTTGATAAATCCAGGTTCATGATCTCAAACTGATCACAAGCAAACTTTGGCCATTGAAAACCAACAAGTGAGACAAAAGGTTTGAATCACATGCCCCACACCAACCTCAGCTCGCCAATCCTCAAGAATTTACCCCCAGTAATGTGATTTGGTGAAAAAGTTGGCAAGTACCTTATTGTTTTTGACTATTGGTAAAATAAGAGGAAAAGCACATATGTCTTTGACAATAAGATTGAAGAGATGGAGACAGCAGCCCACAGGAACAATATGAGGATGTGGAATACAAAGAAGACGCTGATCAAATGGGAGATTGGTTAGTATGATCTAACTTCAATAGAGAATTGAGATTAGAAATTACTCACCCAAAACTTGACCATGATTGAAGGTGAATCAGTGACCACCGCACATACAGTTGCCCATTTGACTCCTTGTCAATGGAGAGTGCCACTGGTAGCCTCGAGGACATTCTTGGAAGTATGTCATGCCACATGAAGATCAAGATTATCAAGATCATACTTGGTCTTTGTACCATGTAATAACATGACAGCATAAACACTCTTTTTAGAATAGTCGGTCCATCCATTGAGAGAGAGAGAGAGACTCTTCTCTTTCTTGAACACTTGAGCAGCTTGAAGTTGATAGTTCACATGTAAATAAGGAAGTATAGTGGAAGCCATTCTGTGACAAGTAGGTAGATGATAGGTAGCACAAGCAAGAGTTTCCTGATACAAACAAAAGTAACAATTATGAAGGAATTGGAAAGGGATGTTCCCCGTAATTAAAACTTTGAGTAAGATTTTGTGTAGCTCATCAGTCTTTGGCTCAGAAAAGCCGGAGAAGTAATGCATTGTATGAGAACAATCAATATTAACAACTATTGGAGGAGCAGTTATTTTAGACATAGAAGATTGAGAGTCAGACTGGATTTCTGAATCAAGAGGGGGATCTTTTGAACATTGGGGAACTTGGAGAATATAAGAGGACCTGTCTTTGGGGGTTATTTTCTTGCATAAATTGATGGCATGCTTGAAGAGATCAGCCGGCTTCCCATTGTCAAATATGGTTGAACAATGGGTGCATTTGGCTTTGCAGCAATTAGATGAGTCCCCACAAAGATTGGACGTCAAAAAGCCTGTCCATCTTTGGCCATGTGCTTTCAAAGGTGGATGCCACTTGGTAGGCATGATAAGCAAAGAGTCAGAGTGGTGATTCGTGAACTTTGTTCTAAAAAAAGTTATATGTTGAACTGAAGGGGAACAAAAGGGATTTATAAGGAACAAAAAAAGAAAACCCGCTCCGGGTACAGGCTGGATGGAAGGTTCTAGAAATGTGCCCGCAGGCCCCGTTTTGAGCCGTTTGCCTGCAAGCACCTGCGGGCCGCATGTCTGCGGCGCAAAACGTGCGCCACCTGCCACATGATTCAGAATGTGACTTCACAAAATCTGGCTTAAGTGAACGCCACCTAAGAGTGATTTTGTTCAAAAAACTCATTTCTGGGACCTTATTATCCACCTTTTCAGGGATCAAGAAGTTGATAAGGAATTTGAAATGAAGGGAATGATACTTCCTGCTTGTCATTTCTGAACTTGTGTTTGTTTCTCACCCTATAAAAGGGGAACCTGTCACACCTACTTTGATTCTCATTATCTAACTCACTGATCAAATTTATGTTTACCTATTACATTCTATGATTCAACTGTCTACTTGATTTAATATAGAAAACAGTCTCTTTTATTATTTTTTCCTCACAATTTTTTTTAACAAATCCCCTGTTTTCCATCTCTGTTTTGGCATCTTTTTCTTTGCCTCCATTTGCATCAAGCCCACCTAAATCCCAAGTCTTGCACTGCTGTCCATCTCCTGCTTTTTCTGATCTTCACCAATCATTGAGGTCAAAATTCACGACATCTGGACTTCAGCAAGCTTTGGATTTCTGTCACACATGGCAAATTGCTGCAATTTGTCCTGCTTTGAGTTTCTTACTTTTGATGGATAGTATTCTCATTGGGACATAAAAGCAAATCATATTTCATTAAATTTGAGCAGGTGCGGATAAGTTGTGGGACTGAAAAACTGTGGCGGGCATGTCCGCATGTTCTCTAGTTTTCGAAACTGCTGTAAGTGTCATAGGACATCTTTCCTTTTTACTCTCAGCTTACCAAGCCAGAGCGACCTTCACTGCCACCCACCTTCACTGGCACCTTGTACAGTGTATAAAGCAAAGCCACCTTCCACACCACAGGCTCGGTATATGGTGGCGCCTTGGTCATTTTTGGCTCGGAGACGCTTTTGCCCAATTCCAGGGACCAGCGTGTACTCCAATTCACGGTGTCCAATTTACCTTTCTCCTTTGGAGAGGAGGCTTCTTCTATCTGATTCTGCCCCACTGCCCTCTGCTCGCAAGCTCGCGCCGCAAAATGAGCAGATGGACTTAGTTAAGTTAGCCCCACTGCCAGCTTCTTCGAACCTCCATATACCTCCCCCACACCGGTGCTCCCCCAGCTTGTTCGATTCTCGGAGTGCACGAGCTAGACAAGGTTAGACAGTTTTGCCAACGCCCAGTCTTGCCGACCTGAAGCCGGAAAGGATTTGGCTATACAGAGTAGGGACTGGGCGAGGTTTTGACCGACAGAGGATTTAGCCACCTCAATAAGCGCATGAATCCCCTGGAAGTCGACCGAAGCGATTTATGCAAACAGGAGGTGTCAGGATTACTCCTACAAGCCCAAGAGACCCGACTGTCAGATGATTTCACCAAAACCAGAGCGAGAGCAACCTGTGAAAGGTATATCAGGCTATCCAGAAGCGTTCTGCCATAGGCTTTTGGCTGAGGTGGGGGGGGAAATTTTGAATAGACAGCTCGTCTTAGGGAGGGTCATGCCTGTGCGCCACCCTATTTTTTTTAGTACCATAAAGCTTACTAAAAAAAATAAGGAAATTTCATATTGATTGAACAGTGGCTTAGCTGTTTGCAACTCGCTTTCAACTACGGTTGAATTGCAATTTTGCAGAGCTTCGCCCAGTCCCTAGTGTCCTGATGGTGTAGAATTATCTTGAGCCTGAAGACTTCAAGTTCCAGCAACAAGTCTTGATTTCCACCTGGATTTTCAGACCTCCCACTCCAGTTGCCTTTTTGTACTTTGATTTCGAACTCATTGCACATCGATTCGATTGATAGTCTTCCTGAACTCCTTCTAATTCATTTCTCCCCGTAGTTCTCCGACAATTTGACAAAAATGAATTCCAAATTCACTTTTCTGCTAATTGTGCTACAATTCATGTCTACAATCACCATCATCTCCGGGGCAGGTATTACCTGTGATGAATTGTTTCGCGGGCCGAATGATGATTTTCGTGAGTAGAGTAGCTGAAAGCAAGGATTTCTTGAAATCTAACTGGGTATGGTGTCTTGAATCAGGTTGTGTTTCTTCTTCCGATGGCATGAACAATGACTGTGAAAGCTGTACTAATATCAATGTTGCCAGTAAGTCTCAAGAGCCTCAATTACATTTTCGTTGCTGAACTGTTTTCCTTTGCCGTGAATCAGCGGGGGAATACTGTGTCTTGGCGTACCAAGAGGTTCCGAAGGGCACACAAATTCCAAATCAAGACACACCGAAGGTTATAAAGAATGGAAATTGCAACAATTTTGAAAGCCTTACCCTTAACAATGCCCCATATGGATATGGTGGGTTATTGCAAGACGAACATTGTATGGTCAAGTACAAATTCTGATGCGTTTCCAATTGTATACATAGGTTGTGCCGCAGGACCTAATGCCCCACAAACCCTATTTTGCAATGCGATTATCAAAACCACAATGTACGTCTCATCTCACTAGATCATTGTCAAGATATAGGTGCCAATCTATCAACAAAAGCTCATATCTCCGATTTTCTGTCCCCAGTCCAAGTTAGTAATAACCTCAGCTCCCTTGGATTCTTACCATACTTCAGTGCAACTTTGTGGCACGAGTCTCGATATTCGGAGCTATCAAATTTGCACTTTCCATCTTCTTCTAGAGAACAAAATTCAAGCTGACTTACCCTTTTGGAACTTCAGGCTGTGAAAAGTGCAAGCAGCGGGGCAAAAGATCACCCGAGGTTATCATATGGAAAAATTAATCAAGCTGCTGTAAGTTTGGGAGATGAACTTACCAAGGAAGAGCCCATCATCATGTCTGTTTTTCATATTGACGCTGACTCTTTCGATGTCTGATGACTTACCTTAGATGGAAGAAACCGACGAGGCCGATCCGTCATGAAGCGATTTTCTTTGATCTGTATAGAATGGTCAATCGATAGGACGCTTGCTATGTGCGCCTCATTGCCTGGATTATCAACTGACCCTTCACACCTCTATAGACTATACTTGCTCCAAGGTCTTATACCATTTTATCATGTACATACATCACCTGAATAATTTGATCATATCTCCGGAGCTGCTCCACAATTCAAGGACGATCATTGTCACGTACAATTCATGTTCAACAAAGGAACAAACATCACATGTGGAGCAAATGTGTGTAGATTTGTGAAGTCATACAGCTTCAGGCTTCACAAATCCAATTTGTCAAGTATCCTTATACGGATGTGTGCAACATACCCAGATGTTCACTCGGATGTGCGACTAGGAATGAGCGCATTTGCCCGAGAAACTTTTGAGATTTGTATCATATATCGATCACTTTTTGTTTTTGATCAAGGTCTATAGTAGGTATGGATCATGTTACAAGTATTAAACCACAAAAAAAAGGTCTTGACAAAGATATATATACATTTATGCGCGTTACTTTGCAAAATTTGAGCGTATTGGAAGACAAACCAGAGCCCAAGAGATCTTTTTCAAGACACGAGGCAATCATCTTGGCCAATCCCAAACATCGCTCGATCAACTTCCTTCTCAATCTTCTTCCAATCTGACCTTCTTTTGATGAACTGGATGAAAGAAATGTTCCGTTGGTTGTAGGACACACAATTGGGGTTCGTTTTGAAGCCAACGAAACGTCAGTCGGATAACAATGGTTAAAGACGGCGGTGCCGGCCACGTGCAATAAGAAAATCAGGGAGAAGTTAGTAAAATACAAATCAATGGTGCAGGTGGATCAAATACTGAACCTCATAAATATCTTCAACCCTGAATGTGCCCCCGAACCTCTCTACGTCTCTCGCAAGTTCAGCCAAGAGTTTGGGGGACTCGATGATGAAAAGACTTCCGAGCAACTTTAGGGAAGCAAATTCAGCTGAGAGATCGACCGATCTGAACGACTTGGAGACAAATTGGTGGTAAGCGTTCAAATCAGCGATGAGTTGAAAGCCTCCTTCAACAGATATAATGAGTCTCTTCAAATGTTTGCAGATCATCCTGAATTCATCGTTCCCAAATTTGTAAATCAGCCATCAATGAGCTGCGTGTTGATGGAATGGCTTTTCATCATTTACGGATTGTTACTGACCCGTGCAGTCTTAAACCGACTTCTTGGTAGAATACCTCCATTATCTGCTTGTCAGCTCCTCTGCTACTTTGAAGTAGCCCGCAGTGACGGTCCAGGCAGTCAAGAGCAGCGCGACATGCTGCTGTTGGCTCTAAATCTCGTCCTCTGACATCAGAACTTGTGGGATTCTCTGCGCTGTGCCCGACCAATACGGCATCTGGACAGTAATCTACACCCGTCTGAGCCTCACTCATCACCCGCTCTACTTCACTCATCAGCAATCCCAGACTGGCATTGAGTCCACCTGCGACACCATCGTCTAATCCCATTTCGAAAGCGCGCTTTTCTCGGACGATGGCATTCAAGAAATCAGTCCGATCGATTTTCTGCACCATTTCGGCTTCATAGTAAGCTTCCACCATCTGTTGTATTGTGTCTGCTATTTGGACAAGCTCGAAATATTCAACCAAGGCCAATAATTCTCCTGATTTATTCTGTTTCAGCAATTTTTTCGACTTATCGCTTGAGCTTGCTATATCAGGTATCTGATGGCGAGACAGTTTTGCTGAAGCTCTTTGATGTTATTTTGAACGCGGTGGGAGATGACAAACACCAGTTCAGCCAGTGGAGATTGAGGCATAATGCTAGAAGGTAGATGTAGAGAGATTGCACTCGCCTCGTGAAAGCTGGCTTGATGTGTCTTTCTGAGAGGGTTTGCAAGAGATGAATGAAAATCTCTTCAAGTGTATCACGGACCTTACTACCATAAAAGCCCTTGAAGCTCTCAAAAGTCTCTACTCGCTTGAGCGCCTCGCGATCGGCAGCGATTAATTTCAAGGAGACATCGAGGGAGAGTAGCAATCTGAGATCGTTGACCTCATCTCGTACACTGCCGCTGGTCGACTCTAGAGCAGGATCTAGTGCTATGTTTTGAGGTGGTTGATGATCCCCCACTTCAGCATCTTCGTTTTCGTCCAGCCAACTCTCCAATTCGTTGCCTCGCACGCGACCATCCACAAGGAATTGGGCATCTTTGTACCCGCTCGCTGTTGCCGGAGACGACATTGAACCCGGGAGTGCTGGCGTTTTCAATCCCCCAGCTACTGATTGAAAGGCGCCCGCGCCTACTGTTGACAACGCGTTGAATGAATAAGCAACGGTCTTAGGGACTACACTGACTGGGACCATCAGGGCGTCTTTGAGTGAGCCCAGTACGTTGCGTTTGAGTGCGGCAGCATCAGTAGTAGGCTCAACTCCCACAGGGGGACCCCATTCCGCGCAGAGTCGCTCGAGTACCTCTTTTGTCCAATCTGCCTCTTCTTGCAGATAGTCGCTCAAATGAATCTCGAACATCTTGTTAAAAATGTCTTCGACTGCGCTCAGAGTCACTCGCTTGTTCGGTGGCTTGATAGCCATCGTGGTTTCGATAGCAGCCCTGAGCTGACTGTATACTGCCACGGTGGACAGCTGAAACAGTGGTTGTGGGAGGGACTGAGCCGAAGACAAAAGGGTGGTGATATATTCGGACAGCTGATAACCAAAAGTCGCGGTCAGATCAGCTATGTTATCGTCAACGATCCCAATGTAGCTTTGGATCATCTAATGGGCTACAAGGAGCGATGGATGGGACGAATACGCCCACACCTGGAGTGAATTACTTCATTGAATCTACGGTGTGAGGTGACTCACCACATCCACTGCAATGCGTTCGATAAAATGTAGCAAGACAGTCGCATCAGGTGGGAAGACGCGGGCAATCAGAGACCCTTCTCTGGTGATAGTCTCGAGTACGTGCCGCATGTAAGTTTCCATTGGACGAAAATCAACTCCGTCGGCCATTTGGCCATTTTGCGTCTCAGTCCGACTACAAAGAAAATTGGCCGAGGCTTATATCAATGTCAGTCAACTGTACAGGCCTCGGCAAACGCCTTGCGAGCGAGCCGACGTCAAAGTCAGCATGTTTGACAGTTTGTCCGAGGGAAGGGGGAGGGAGAAACATTTGAGTCTTACACTAGGTTGTCGAGAGGATTAAATCGGGTGTCATAAAAGATCTCCCGTTTGGTGATGAAAACCTGGATGACAGAGGATCCATCGCATCCGAGAGCCCAGACAAGCTCGGACGCCGTTCGCATAGCATCTTCGTCTCCACGGTCATCTGCATGCTCAAATTCACTCAACAAGCTAGCTTCGAATACGTCGATAGCGCTTTGAATATTACGAGCAAGTACCGGGTTTGCGAAAAAACGGCTGGGCGCTAGAAAAGGGTTCGAAAGCAGTCTGAAAAGAGTGGAAAGCAGTTCCACGCGATGACGACTAGTGAGATTGGGATCGGTAAATAGGAGAGAAGACGTGGTATGATGATATAAAGAGTTGAGATAGGGCATTAGGACGACGTATTGTTGAATGAAGCGCTGCCGTGAATTGAGGGGTTGTGAACGCGCCGCAGAGCTTGTGACTTGCAAAGGTTGAGGATGACCAGGATCGAGTGCCAATGAACCCACATCATTTTCTCTCGCGTGAAAGACCATTAGCGAGTCTTCTTTAGGAGGGGACAGAACGGATTTGCCAGGACAAGCGCCTGACTCAGATATGACTCGTGACGTGTCCTTCAGTTGCAAGGCGGTAAGTGAAGTTTCAAGAGACATGCGAGGCTGAGTATGGCGGTCTAACGGCAAAGCGACACGATTGGGCGCGGTGGTAGAGCCAACGACAAAATCGCCAAACAGTTCGTCATCGCCGAGACTTGCAGAGGTAGTATTCGACGTAGGGCTCACAAGAAAGTCTGCCGAAGGCTGAAAGAAAGCATGTCAGATATTTCGATATCATAATTGAGATTACCAGCTATGTAGCTCACCGTAGGTCCCTTGTAATCAAGCCAACGAATCTTAAGATCCCAGATGCTGTCATCTTCAGATAAGCGCCGGAACCGGCGGCTGACGCTTGCCACCCTCGCGAATTCATTAGGGGTGACAAATTGTAGAACGCGGCAGAGTACACTGTCCGGTAACCTAGACAGACGGATACCTACAGAGGCTGTCTGTTGTGGAGAGGCACGCAAAAGCTGTTGATGATAGTGATGATGCTGAGCTCGGAAGCCAATGAAAGAATGAGGACGAGCAGGAGGGGCGGCCCGGCGAGTCGGTGGAGTGACGGGAGAAACAGGAAAGGAGAAAACCATGAAGATGTCAAGCGAAATTGAGGGACATGGAGGCCCAAAAGATATGAATGATAGCGAGAAATGCGATGTGACGCGAAGAGCATCTCCAGTGAGGTCGACAGTCGGGCGATGTGCTCGGGGTAAAGCTACAGCCAAAAGCCCGCCTACCCGAGCCAGCGGGCTTCGGTACGCCGTGTTTCTGTCCGATCACTGTCACAATGACAACTTGTCTTCACAGTCACGACTCAATGCAGCATTCTGGACAAACTTCCTCCCTCGTAAGTTGGCATTTCGGAACTCTGCAGGAATCAACTTCTCTTGATGGCAAAAGTAAAGGTTGAAATGATATCCAACCTTTCTTTTTAGTTTTCATCATGATCAGTGGCAGAACAACTCAACACCAACTTACAAAAACGTGGCTCATAATGCTTTGAGTGAAACCAGAACCAGTACAGAAATCAAGACAAAAATCCCATTCAACAATCTTCATTTCTTGTAGAGCACGATTCAACATGAGTCTGTTGATTGAAGTGATTGTTGACTTCTTTCTAGTATTTTTGATTGAACAAGCCCAATCAAACTGGTTATGATTGGATCTGTTTGCTTAGTATTCTGAAATTGATCACCAATCCATAAAAGATAGAGCGATTTTCTTTATTAAATAGTACACCCACTTCGGTAACCGTTGTGTGACGTGTGCGACCGACTGCGCACCACCAAAAAGTCGCACTGATTTTCGGTCGCATATGTGACTGAAAAAACCAATTCGGTAAACCAAAATGCGACGGAAGACGCCTTTGCACATATGTGCAAAAATTGTGCGCATTAGGGGGGCTCAAGTCAAAAAATTTTACTACTTTTATCGTAAAAAACTTTTCCCAATTTCATAAAATTTACACAAAATTTTATGAATTTGGGAAATGTTATACGACATCCCAAATTTTTTTAAGCAGCAAATTTGCGTAAATTTACTGCTCAGAAGCAGATCCGAAAGAAATTTTTTGGTCCTTTTTTACGAATTGGGAAAAGTTTTTACAGCACGGCACCGTAAAAAACTTTCCCCAATTTTTTAAGAAAAGGGTGCAAATATTTTGACTTGAGCCCCCTTAATCTTGAAAACGACTCAAAGCCGTATATTTTCAAATTAATGCAACTGCAACTTTCCATTGCTCTCTCTTTCAACCCATCACTCTCCCTCTTTTTCTTACTTCACCAAATTTCATCCTTCATTACCACCAAAAATATCAACTTCATAATCCCTGAACTCCATTCACTTCAAATAATGGATCCTCTAAACAAGCTCGATCTTGACATCACCTTTTCAATCTTGATATGGCCATTATTTTGTCTATCGGAACAATCAATAGTGGTACTCAAACATAAAAACCCAATTGAAAAACCCATGGACAAAACCCATGACCACCCGATTGGTTTTTGGGTTTTGTCCAACGGGTTTTTCCACTTGGTTCGCCCTCAGATGTTTGAAACCCCCAGCCCATTCCAATACCCCTTCAAAATGCCGAGACTCTCGTACCAAAGGCAGCTCTTAGCATCTGTCAACACCCTTATCGTATCTCAGGTATTGCTCCTTGACACAACTACCACTTCACCTTTGGCCCCATCTTTCCTTCCAATCTTACTTGCCTGCTTAATGCTTGTATCATTCATGAATTCCAACAATGACGGCGATTCTGACGATAACATCAAACATCAAGAACATATCACCATCTTGGCTTTCATAATCATCATGATATCTGCAATGAATCAGAGCGCCTTCATCAACGGACGCAAGCGAAAATTTGAAGAAGACAAAGCCACCGTTGCGACTCTTTTGATGATACAAACCAAAGTCCACAGCAGACGATACCCTTTTCCTAGATATCGCCGGCCTTGTTGTAGTTTAAAGGCTTTGACTTTTCAAGCATGGTTTGATGAGACTGAACGCACTTGGCTAACAGTTGTAAGTGCATACAAGAGATTGGATTCCTCAGCTTGAATTATATGTTACTGACTTCATATCATCTCCAAACGGCCTTAGGCACGTATGCAAAGGGATGACTTTACAAAACTGCTACACAAAATCGGATCAAATCCTATATTTCACAACAACTCACGTTGTCCTCAGGCACCCCCTCAGTGGCAGTTATTGGTCGCTTTAGCGAATTTAGGATTGTCGGGAAATGGAGGCTTGTGTCCGATCAAGGCCAAGTTATTCTCATTAGCGGGTGAGTCATAAAAATTGTGTTTCAGTGTGATCTCTTGTACTGACTGTTTGAATAGAGGGCAGTGTGGTCGATTATACCAAGAGATGCATCCATGCCATTCTTGAGTTGGAGTCCAAATATGTACGCTGGCCAAACGCCAATGAACGAGCTCAAATTAAGAAACGTATCGGCAAAACATCATGGTTTCAAGATTGTATAGGTTTTATTGATGGCACTTTAGTTCCTTTAGCCTCAGAACCCTCAAAAAACAAGGAAGATTATTACACGCGGAAGTCAATCTATGCATTAAACTCGCTTATAATCTGTGATGATCAGCAAAAGGTCCTGTACGCTCATCATGGTTGGTGTGGAAGTGCACACGACCAAAGAGTGTTGAAGTCAACTTCTGTATGTCATGTTCTCCTCTCTCCTTTTTATGACTATCAAGCTGATTAGAAGCGCTTCAGTTCCACCAGAACATCTCCTCTTACTTCTCAGCAGGAGAGTACATCCTGGCGGACTCCGGGTATGCTTCAAAAGAACATATCGTACCGGTGTTTAAAAGATCAAGATCAGGAGGCCTTTCAAGCGCTCAAACTCACTTCAATAACTCAATATCGAAAATACGAATCGCATCTGAACATTGCAATGGAATGTTACAGATGTGATTTGGCTTGCTTCACGAGCTACGCCTGGACATGGGCAACTCGAAGGAGGCCAGGTTTGCATGCGACTGGATATCGGCTTGTGTGGTCATCCACAACTTTATCATTGTTGATGGCACACCAATGGCAGGATTTGGAACAAGCTCCAGCTTGGAAGCTATAGATGAAACTGATGATTACAATTTCAGGAGGGCTAATGCAGAGTCTGTTGGCATCCATCGTCGTGATACTCTATTTGCTGATTTTTGTATTGCCAAAGGTTATTGAGTGTTTTTTTTCAGTTTGCCGATGTTTAGTATTCCAAAAAAAGAATGGTTTGTTTCCAAATTTTCCAATCTCTTGAAATACAAAAATTTGTTTCCAAATTTTCCAATCTCTTGAAATACAAAAATTCAAATTTATATCTCTTCAAAGTTTTGTTTCAATTTGCATTGAAAGCAGTGCACCTCGAGGAAAACAACCAGTTTGAAATTTGGTAATTTTTACAAAATCTCTTCATTTTTTTGGGTTCTTTTTTGGATTAAATTTTGCGTAAACATCAACTTTTAAAATTGCATACAAAATTTGTTTGTCAAAACAGAACAAATTGTAACAAAGCGTTAAAATCTCACTACATATTTGAAATTGAACATCTCATTTTATTCAGTTTTTTTGCCAAAAGAGCATTACAAGCGTAAATGAACCCATTGGATTCAAATTTAATCAAAAAGATCAAATTTATCCACTCTCTGATTGTGATTGAGACGCAGACCCCAATTGAGAGGGCTGGATGTCCGGTAGATTTCGCAAGGCCAAAGCCTCTGCCTTCTCCGGGTCCATGTTCTTTTGAATAAGATTGATAATCATTTGGGAACGTGCAATTCTAAGTTTCACATTCATTTCTTCAATTGCAAGTTTTTCCTTTGTTGCAAGTTCAGTGAGTTGATTAGTGGTAATAATGTTCGTCATTGCTGTGGTGATTGATGAGGTAATGTTCTCTTGAGTTTGGGCAGAGCGTCGATCACTTGCTTCTCTTTCTTCTTGGGTGGAGAGCCGAGATGATATCACATTGAGACCTAAAGGGTCTTGAGGTGTAGAGGTAGCAGTTCCTTTGCTGCTATGTTGACGACGCTTCTGGGAGGTATCAATAGAGGGGGAGAGGGAAGGAGCCGGTCGCTTCCCTCCTCGGAAATGACCAAAGACGGGTGTATTCTGCGCGTTTGTACTACCTTGAGTTGAAGGTCGTTCCCCTTGCAGATCGGTATTGAAAGAGTCTTCCCACATATAAGGCATAGTGTCATTTGGGGTCTCAGATGGTTGATCCTGAATGTCCTTCGAATCGGCTAAAGAGTGCAAGTGTTGGACTGATTCACCTCCTAGTGAGTCCCTTAGCGCCAATGGTTGGGCTGATGGTCGGTCTCGAAAGACAGGCTCAAGTTCCTTGTACCACGGGAATTTTTGCAGTATTCTCACTAGATCCAACCATAAAGAATCAGTAACATGAAAGTAGCATAGATACTTGATTGAACATACCCTGAAGAGATCCACCAGACACTTTCTTATTGCCTTGTCTCTTTGCCAATTTGAAAGCCAAGATGTCTTCATTCAAGACAGTGAATTGGATGTTTTCACAATCAATTTCTTCATCTCCATTTCCCTTGCCAGTAGCAAATCGGATCGTGTTAGCATCTCGGAACCACGTCTCAAGTTTTGCAATCTGTGTATAACAAAAACGTTAGTAACCTCTTCATTTCACACCATACAAACTAAAAAACACCTACTTTCTTTTTGCATTCTCGACCAGATCTCATCACATGCCCCTTGCTTACAAGATACTTGGCCACCCATTCACAAACCACACTTTTTGTTTTGGTGCGCCAATCATTATAATTTTCGAACACACTGCACCACTCAACAACCAGATCAGCATCGGACTTGCCATCGCTATCTGGTGTGAACCAGCATTTTTGAGACAACTTGTTGACGTTTTTGTCTTCATTTTCATCAATCTTAGTATCTTGAGTTTCAGTTCGAGTTTGAGATTCAATTTGAGATTTGTTTTCTTCAGACTGATTCTGAGACACTTGAATACTATGAGATTCTTCAGTAGGATTGTGAGCAGAAGGTTCTTCAGATTGTTGAGAAGGCTGAGAGGCTGCTGGCTTTTGAGGTC